TATTTATTTATTTATTTATTTATGCAGTACTGTCTCTGTATGACTTGGCCTCTCATGACTACAAAATAGTGTTTCAAAACTACAAAACATCTCAATCATGACTTAATATCTAACAAATATTTGAGATGTTCAGTTGTAGTGAGATGCTAAGTCAGAATTATTAGATCATAATTATAAGTCATAAGTTTGAGATGCTTAAAATATAAATTTTATTTCACCATAGTGGTGAAAATAAACTTCCTTATACAATTCTGTAGTTTAAGAAGAAATCTGTGCAATGTGACTGCTTACGTTTGATACTAACAGAAGGAAGGTGAAAACTGATCGTAACCATCGTACATTATGCATAAAATGTATTTTAAATGATTTCCCTTTACAAACTGACAGCCCAGTCTACTGCCAAAAAAGCTAGAACACTGTCTGTCAACCATAACTAAAATAAACCACCAAATAAGTTTAGAAAATTAAATAATTTTAAAAAGGAAATTGTTTTTTTGCTTTATAATTCAAGATAGCAGTAGGCACTGTGCAAAACATGGTCTTTACTAATCAACTTCCCCACTGAAACAAATGATCATAAATCACATGGGTCAAATTCAGTCCATTGCAAAGTTTGGATAAAAAAAAGTTGCAATAGGTAAACTTTTAGACCAACTGCCAAAAGGTCAGTGCATGAAGCACACGAGGTGTTCAGCTGCAGGGTTACCACTTTCGTTGCATTCGGATTATTCACCTGAATTCAGTCACATTTATTACAACACATTTTTCGAAATACAATCCTGAATCGCAATGAGTTCATTGCAGGGATTTATGCCAACATCAGCACAGCTTTTCAGTGGGTATGCTGTCTGTGTTTATTTTCCCCACATGCCTCACTTAAGAACTTCATGCCGCAAGCCTTGTCACACACAGCACATCACACCTGTCATGTTAAGAACTTTATCTAGTGTTGATTTTAGATCTGACTGGCTCCTGTGAAATAGGACAGAAACAACTTCACTGCACCAAAAACAGCAATAGGCTGCCATGAGTGGAAGACTGCATTTTCAGCAACTGATAAATATGAAAACTATGTAAGTGAAATGCATTAAATACACAAAAAGACTGGAATTTTGAATATCTCTTTATTAGGGTGGACACTGTGAGAAAAAGAGAAATTTCAGTGTTTAAAGGGAAACCAAAATGTCTGTGTAGAGTAACAGTATGTTATTGAACAAAACGAGTAATTTATTCAACCAAACGAGGGTTCAGAAAAAATGTAATTAAAAATAATATAAAAAATAAATTTAATGCATAACTTTTACCTGTTTATAAATAACAGCAAGAACAAAAAAAAAAAAGGTTCTGACCCTACATGTATACATGTCTCTTCTGAACGTTAGTAGACCGTGTTTTTTGCAGTGTTTGACAAAAAGAACAACATGATACAGTTGGTTAACATTATGTTAAAGCTTCCCATACGCAAGCTAGCATAACTAGTTTCAAAGTGAAGCGATGAATGGGCAAATCTGAGATTTTGCACCAAGTGTGCACAACAGTGCGCTTTAGAGAAGTAGGCGAACCGTTCAGCAGCTCCACTGTTGTTTTCCCATCGATTTCAGCCAATGTGTCATTATGATGGATTGCTCTGTGGGCTTCAAGGAGACCTGTGCTGGGCCTGCTGTATTGACAGGGCTCCCATTTCTCTCTCCTCCACTTGTTAAATACTTCTCTGCGGAGTTAATGAACGAAAAACAGGGAGGGCTGCCGGGAGCGGAGTTATTTGTGATCTCCTCTTGTCTTTGTACGTTTGGTTCACTTTAAAAGACTCAAAAACAAAAAGGAACTGCATCGTTTCACTTTAGAAAGTTAGAACAATAAATGTATTGTAACACCCAATTCTTGACACAATGCTTAAAATTGATCAATTAATTAAAGAACCAAAATAGCGTCAACATCTTTACTACCATCTTAGACCAATTTAAAGAAAAAAATAAATCATTTACTTAACGTCTGCTACCAAGTTTTCTGCATAAACTTTCCGAAAAGCAGTCCGATAAACAGATTTTCAGCAACTACAGATATAATACTAGTCTCAGTAAGGGAAATCTTTTGGGACCAGCCTAAATTGGCAGCAGGCAGAAGATGTGGCCTCATTCAGACAGTCTAATCTGGCATCTGTTATTGCAGACAGAATCAGTGAGCCCATGGGGGCTGGCAGAAGAGGGGAAATAGAGGTGTAATTGAGAGCAGCAGTTTGGATATAATAGGGAAATGAGATGAGATGGGGGCCCAAGTTCAGGTGACTGTCCTAGACGGTCCCTTTTTAACTGGAGCTGTTGTTAAGGAGAGCTGAGGATTGTTAAGAGTTTTGGCATGCAGGGACCATTTGTTGTCTTTTGAAATGTGGAACCTGACAATAGAAGTTACCCGATATAGAAACTAGACTTGCAAAGTTTGCAGTTGTGTAGGATGTCACCTCAGCTCCCAATTAGAATGAGTCAGCGCAGCATAAACTCTTATATAATCTCCATTTTCAGTGGGGAAAGATGTTATTTCTAAGTTAAACCTCACCTACTACTCCTTTTATCACACCACGCGGGAAAAAAAAAAAAACACTTTCCATCAACAGATTGTCAAAATCTATATCTAAAGCATGTATCTATTTCAAATATCCCCCATCCTGCAAGCTGTTCTCCATGTTCACTTCAGCAAATATCAAACCCTTATCTATTCCTGTGTTAGATCACTACACTGTGGTGATCTTTTTGTCCTTGGTGGCCTGTTTAATGGCAGCCTGCTCACAGATGATCTCCTTCAGCCTCTGGAGTCGGGTGTTTTGGGTGCTCAGGTCCCCGACGCCTGTCTGACTGCGATGGAGTAATGACAGAGCGTTGATGTACTCCAGCTCAGTGTAGCGGACACCCTGGTCCACCACCAGGTTCAGCAGCTCATCTGCGGTGTTGTACAGCATCTCATAGTACTGCCTGGAAGAGGAGAGAAAATTACAAAAGGTTATGGATGAGGTAAATAAAAAAAAGGTGGACTGCGACAGCAAGTAGAGAAAAGCTTGAAAATCAGGGGGGGGAGAAGCAGAGAAGAGATTAAAAAAACACTTTTGATATACCTCTGTTTTCCCTTTTCCAATGCAGAATCAAAGGCACATGAACAACAAAGAGAACACAAAAGCCAGAGTAGCCGCTGTTGCTGTCAAGCCCAATTTTCTTAAAAAGGACTTCAAGGACCTCACCCTGCTGCTGCTGAGAGTCGAAGGTAAAGGGAAAACATGTGCTGGGTACGAAATAAAAAAAAAACAGAACAAAACAAGACTGCTCTAATGAAACATTGCTGACAGGCAAAAGAGGAAAGAGTTGTGTGGAGACTGAATAGGTCTTTAATCAAGAGTGAATGCCTCAATGGGSCATTTGAAAAAGAGCATGAGGAATAGTGATAAAGCAGGTGGACACAGGGACACTGAGCTTTGTTCAATAGTTGACACTTTCACCAGCTGACTTTAACTGCACAAACAAAATATAGTCAATTTTTTTGTACAGATTGGGCAAAGTTTCAAAGAGTTAAAATCCTGACTGAGGCACATAATTGGTCTGTTTGTCAACAAGTATAGATTTTAGATGGGTAATGCACTAAAAGTACAAACCAAACATTCACAAAGAAGTTAAAAAATATAGTTTAGTGGTAAGGTAGTGTTTGAGAGTGTGTTGAGAAGGACACACTTTCTTCTTTGTTTGGTTGTAAAACCAGTCAAATACTTGGGAAAGCAAAAGCATGTTCCTGTGCTGCACAGGAAGAAAGTACAAAAACAAGTCCCAATGTGACCCAAAGACCAAATATAAAATGATGGAAAAAAAATGTTAAATTAGTCTTTTAATTCCCTTCAACAGTTTTCATTATTTTACTATTTAGATTTTTCTAAATCACCATACTATAGGTTTTTATGTATGCTGTAACAATATTTCATTATTTTATTTCCCTCAGCAAATAATAATTCTCATTTAAAAACCAATAATATTTGATAATTATTACTCATTGCCAAAAGTGATGATGCGGTAAGATTTTTGCTTATGTATGCATGCATTGTTAATTTGTCTATAGTGTTACTCCTACCTCATGAACCACTGGACAAATATGTCACCCATTTCAAGATGGCTGCCACATCAACCATCATTAACCAACACAAGTGTAACTCAGTCAGTTTTACTGATGTGGTAGTAGTGGACAGTCATAAATAACACTCGGAGTGTGACGAGCATGAGATTGCACATAACGTTATTTTCGAGGTTTGACCAAAACAGCTACAACTCTGTTATTTCTCATCATGCACTGATGTTCTGATTAGGATCTAAAAAAATCAGCAATGTTCAGTGATTTACTGGATTTGTTGCAATAATGACAGAGTTGGCCATGGCTTAAACTGCTGCAGTGCTACTTTTTCTCCTTGGAGGAAAGAGAAGCTTCCTTTATTAGAATAAACTACCCACCTTGGCCAAGGACAGGTGCTGGTCAGTCAACAGCACAGACTCCTGCTGCTCTGAGAGAGCACTAAGATACACAACAATGCTATTGGTAGCCCTGTTAAGCAAATAAAAGGACTTGCAGTGGTATTAGACATGTGAAAAATGTCTGAGAAAATCTTAGGTCTACTTGTTTTAAAATCACTTTTTGAGTCAGCAAAAATACACTTAATTGGACATTTAAAAGCATCACTGTGAAACACTGCACTTGTTTGTGTCATGTAAAGTAAAAATATTAGATATGACTCAGTAGAAATATAAGAAACTCATTTTCCCTAATTAGTTTGGGAACCGCCGTCCATTTTTGAGTCATTCCCTTTCTGTAGCCTTCATTTTCAATGCTAACGAGGCGTTAATGAACACTTAGGGAGCTTCTGCTCTTCTGCTTCTGGGTTTTATGTGCAACCATTTTAGAGATTCAACAGTTGAGAAACAGACTTGCAGAAAGAATTATGGAGGTGGGGAAGAAATAAAATGGAGACTTTGAAAAGAAAGAGAAGATGACAGATCACTAAAGAGATAAATGAAGAACGGAGGTGCATAGTATCTGTTTTTATGGCCTTCTCTTGACAAGTGACGCCCTTGATCATCAAAGCATTTGCATTCTGTCTCACTGCTCATCTCGCTCTCAAGGTTTTTTTCTTTTTGTTTTCAGCCTTGAACTCAGTCCTTTTATAAAGAAAGTTTTCAAAAATGTTGAATACCATAAGCTTTTGCTCAACAAAGATAGTGTTAAATGTTTTATCCTTTATCAAAGTCTATCACTGACCCTGTGACCTTTTAGTTCTTAAATGGCACTTCATCTTCATCAGGAAAGTATGTGTTGTGTATCAGAATACGTGCTGAGCATATCTCTGTCATATAACTGTTTAAAACTTTGTATTATGTTGAATAGTGTCAATCCAACTCAAAGTTTACATTTATCTTTAACCTATTGTTTTGTGTTAAGCAATGAACTCCCCTTGTTAAGAAATTAATTTATTCTTACATTAAAAAAATTGGGATGAATGTTGACTGGTGAGCTATAGAGAATACAAAACATCAACAAGGCTTTATTAAAATTTAATAGCAGTATTTTCAACACAGATTTGAAAGGTAGATTTGCATTCTTTTAATGAAGGCTGTGCCTTTAATTTACAAGCGTAAAGGGGAAAAACAAATCCACATTTCAGTTTGTCATCCTTCTTTTTTGKCATCTTGTTAAAACAGCCAAACTGCGTCCACAGAAAGAGAGGTGCTCGACTGTCAGCTGGCTCCTAAAAGCACATGTTTGTTTGGGTGTCTGAGCCGCGAGGACAGCTGGCAATCTGGCCTCTGTTTAGCACACAGGGGAGGGGGCTGGTTCAGGGGGAAAAAATAAATAAATAAAATGTGTGTTTGTGTGTGTGTTTGTCGATCTACCCGTGTCTGAGTGATGCATGTTAGTGTGCGCTGAAAACACTTTCAAACAGTTCATTACCCAAGCAGTTGGAAAGCTATTTGCCGAACAGGGAAAGGCTGTTAATAAGACTAAAATCTCTCCGCACCCCACAATCAAGAAAGAACCCCTTGTGACATCAATAACACACAAACACACACTCACCCCCCTCCTTTTGTTGAGTAGCAACTAGTTAATGAAACAAGCCTTATTTTTCAAACAATGCCAAAGTGAAATGTTTTGATTGCCCTCCTCTTTAGAGTCTTTATGGCCCTCAGCCCCCCTCTGTGCATCCTCCCTCTTCACTAAACCACAAAAACACGCACAGTCATTTTTGTTTTTTTTGGCCATTTCCACCTGCTTCCTCCAGAACTCCAATCTTTAGGAGTTTTGATTTAGTAATCAGCTTTTGTGTATGCATGCGTCCACATGCCTCCGCAGAGTGGATTCTATTAAATTTTAATTAGCTCCCCTCCCCGCCCCAGCCCTCTCTCATACGCAAAAATTATGAAATAAATTTATGATGCGGGGAACGTGGTGCAGGATGGACATCGACAATGGCGCGGTGGGGAGGAGGAAAAGGTGAGAGAAAGTCGAGATTCAGCACAATTCGTTCCCACTAATTTCTGTGCAGTATTGAAGCCATTACTGGCTGCCTCCGTCAGCACRTTTGGAACAACACGTTAGTTAGTGAGGGAGGGAGGAGACAGGAGGAATGGAATAATGGGCGAGTGTTAAGATCAACTTCTCTAGCTGGGGTCGAGGCTTGCCGCTGCTAGAACAAACCTCTGGGTTGGGAGCAACAGAAGGTGTGTCACTTGCTTTCTATCATTTTTGTCTCTCTTATAAATTGAAGATATGGAGAACTTCCACTATAAAAATGTGGTGGAACATGAGCTCCTTACTTAAAGTTGAAGCAGAATAACAAAACATCTTTGATAATAAAAAAAAGTCTATTTCGGAGAAGAATGTGGTAAAAAAAAATACATAGTAAAATAATTGTTTTGAAATATAGACGTGTAGGCAAGGGAAGATTTTGTTGACACAACCTGCCCTTTAGATTCTACACCTGTTGTGGATCCCCGCATTTTTGAACCTGCAACTGCTTTTGTTGTTCCTTGAGCTCAGCCTCTCAGGTGAGTGGCAGTACACTTACCCTCTCTAAGAAAAGCTGTGAGCCAGTTTGCTTCACTTCTTTTATGTTTTTCCTCTAATAAATCTTCCCCCAGTGCTCTGACAGTAGCGTAGTGCTGGAAAGCATGTGTTACTATGACAACTGGAAACCAAGTTCTGTCAAATTCAGTCTTAGCTGCAGTCTAATTGTATTTTTTAACAGGTTTATTGCCGTGTTTAAGAAGTGTACGCCTTAGTGGCAAAAGTTTGGATCTTTTTAGACTTGACTAAAATTTAAGTGCATTTAGTTTATTTTCATAAATCTCACTTTAAAGTGCCTGTGACGTCTACTTTTTGTAATACATATGAATGCATTTTTAGAAAGAGGACATTGATAAAATATTGCAAAACATTAATGTCGCTGAGATGAACAGTTGTTGAGATATTTGCCTGTGAAGCAACAGGAAGTGATGTCAAAGGGGATTGTCTGCATGTGAACAGAGCTTTGCTAAAATGGCTAACAACACAGACTGTAGAGAAGAATCTGATGTTTATTTAGATCATTTCGAGTCACTATCAGAGAGAGATGAAGAATCAGAGTTCAAATAATATCGTTTCAATAAAAAAAAGACCAGAGATTTTTTTATRTTAAAGAGTTCCTCTTTGATGTCATTTCCTGTTTCACTTTGGCTGAGCCAAGTTCAAAAGAAAATATGCAGTTATGAGAAAAAATGGGTTAAATCATGTGTATTATCCTAACTTTCTTAAATATAAAGATCTTTTCTTTGACTTTTTGTATTTGAAGAATATGCATGTCACAGGCACTTTAATGTATTACACTGTTAAATGTAATAAATGAGCAGGCTGTGTGTGATTGTAATCTAAGTAGAAATAACTTGTTGGCTCTTTTRGCCTATCTGTTATT